CACTAATTCCAACGTGGGAGACAAATTATTTAGTGCTAGTGTTTGATAGGCTAAAGTGTATTTTGCATGTGTTTCCCACAATGGAATTAGTGTAGGACTCACTGAAAGGCAGGTGCTGTGAAGTAGTGGTGGTCTTAACACAATATGGTCATATGGTGGAAATGAATCCCCACATTTGTTTGCTGAGATAGATGATTTGAAGTAGCCTCATAAAATGTAGAACAGTATTTTTATGTGTGCACTATTCCGTAATCTGTATTATGTATACATTTTGGTCACTATGGCAGCACCATTCCTGCGAAATGGTGCCCCAATTCTCTTGTTGTCTTTATGTATTTGGCATAATGTAATAGATATGACATAATAATTGTTTATCTTTAAATAATTTCCCCCATTATTTTAGTGTTTGGGGGACTGCCTGACAACCCACGCAGTCCCCCTGCAAGCTGTTGTGATACTGCCTAGCCTGCCATCTGATCTTGACGTCATTGTGACATGGCCTGTTAGGGCAGTTATAGCTGCAGCAGGACTGACTGGGTTGTCAAGCAGTCAACCCCCCAATTGGGAACCGTGCATATCGCTGCAGGAGGTGAATATGTGTGTTTGAGAGGGCTCGTGATCGTTAGGCATACCATGCTGCCCTAATGGCGGTTAAGCCCATTTTGTGCAGGATGGCATGGTATACCCTAATGGTGTTAAGCAGTTAAAGTCTCAAGTATCTCTGGCCCCCTGACTCTTTATTTACTTACACCCTTGTCTCTGTATGCAGAGTTATTTAAAGCAGGTGAGGTGGCTCAGTTGGTAAATTCCATAACTACAAAGCCTATTAAAAAATGCAAGGTCACAGGTTCAAATCAAATGAGTACCATCAATTGGGTAATAGTAACATATATTACTATTCAGCTGCTTATTTTGTTAATTCCAAGAGTGTGCACGGAAAAGCGCTTTGAGTCCCACTGGGAGAAAGGCATTATTATTATTATAGCTATTAAGGCATTTACCTGACATTGCAATCATTTTAGGTACTTAAGGTTTTTCAAGAACCTTTAACAAGGGAGCAAATTTATCGCAACAAATGAATATACAATATAGGATCTTAAAACACACAGCAAAATTAAGGGAAAATAGGTGCTTATAAAAGCACAATCCAGTGCAGCAAAACTCCCCAAAAGTGTATTGTACCTCAATTTACCTGAAGCAAGGTGTAACTGCAAGTCTCTCTTGGGACCTATACCTACCCGAAGCAAGGTTTCTGTTTAACGCCTCCACAGTTTAGAGCCAACTTATAGGCTCTAAAGATTGTAAATTTTTCCAAAACTCACTCTCTCTATCTATTTTTGTACATACATGCTCCATTATGATATTTCTTTGTTTATGTCATATACGTTTTTAAACTACAGGAGACAATCATAATTATTGTGTGCGCTTTTTCATCTCTTTTATGTGGTCTATACAATATATGATAGCTGTACCTGTATGATTGATTATCTCATAGGAAAGCATTGGAAGGCTATTGAGCATGCAAAATGCTGTGCTGCACCAATCAGCATTTCCTCATAGAGATGCATTGAATCAATTCATCCCTATGGGAAACATTCCGCATCTCCTTGCAGAGAAAAGAGACGCTGAATGCCAGTGAGAGGAAGCACCTCTAGTGGTCATCTGAGTGACTAGAGGTTTACTAGGGACCAACGTGAACTGCCCTTTCTCTGAAAAGGCAGTGTTTACAGTACTAACATTGCAGGGACATGCTATAGACACCAGAATCACTACATTCAGCTGTAGTAGTTCTGGTGACTATAGTGACCCTTTAAAGGAAGGAATATCAATGTATTCCTGACACTATAGTTTTAAAAGAACTTTTTAGTTTACCGCCCCTCTCTCCTTACATTAAAAAGGTGTTCTTAACTTTTTTCCAGCAGAGCGCTGGTATCACCGCAGCTTGCCCCATCTCGCTCTGTCTCTGTACCTGAAATCATCAAACTTGATGATCGGAGCCAATCCAATGTTTTCCCAAAGAAAGCATTGGGAGGCTATCGCCAGGGCCAGATTAAGAGCCTAGTGGGCCTGGTTCTGACAATTATGATGGGGCTTAATTACAGAATTTTATCGACCAAAAACACTAAAACAGTCATACCTCTAAAGAGTCATGTATCTGATGGAGTTGGAGTTGGAGGGAAACTCAAAGGATGCAGCTATAAGAAAACACATACTCTATGCTAATCTCTTTATCTAATTAATGCTTTCATCTTTCAAGTAAATCCATACCCCATAACAGCAGTGTCCATGGGCGGGGTAAAAGGGTGCCACTGACGAAATCACGTGACCAGAACTGCCAAAAGGGGCGAACATGCCCAAAAAGGGGGCATGTCTGTCCAAAGAATTGGAAGGCCAGCCTGGCATCAGTGTCCCTATGTATCACAGTGTCAATGTCCCCATGTCGCCCAGTCCCCTAGTCTCCCAGTGTCTGTGTCCCCATTTCTCCCAGTCTGTCTCAGTGTGTCCTGTGTCACTAGGATACTAGGGGACACTGAGAGACATGGGGACACTGAGAGATCCGGGGACACTGGGAGACGTGGGGGCACTCGGAGACGTGGGGGCACTTGTGAATACAGACATGGGGACACTGGGAGACACGAGGACACAGACATTTGGGGACACTGGGAGAAATGAGGAGACAGACACTAGGGACACAGACATGGGGACACAGACACTAGGAGAGAGGAGGACACAGACACTAGGGACACTGGCTGGGAGGCATGGGGACACAGACACTTGGGGAGACTGGGAGACATGGGACACAAAGGACACAGAGACATGGGGACACAGACACTGGGAAACATGGGGACACTGAGACACTAGGGACACTGGATGGGAGACATAGGGACACTGGGAGACATGGGGACTCTGAGACACTAGCTGGGAGTCATGGGGACACTAAGAGACATAGGGACACTAAGAGACATGGGGACATAGATACTAGGGACACTGGCTGGGAGGCATGGGGACACAGACACTTGGGGACACAGACACTTGGGGACACTGGGAGACATGGGGCACTTGTGGACATAGACATGGGGACACTGGGAGGCATGGGGACACTGAGACATTTGGGGACACTGGGAGACATGGGGACACTAAGGACATAGATACATGGGGACACAGACACTGGGAGACATGGGGACACTGAGACACTAGGGACACTGGATGGGAGACATAGGGACACTGGGAGACATGGGGACTCTGAGACACTAGCTGGGAGTCATGGGGACACTAAGAGACATAGGGACACTAAGAGACATGGGGACATAGATACTAGGGACACTGGCTGGGAGGCATGGGGACACAGACACTTGGGGATACAGACACTTGGGGACACTGGGAGACATGGGGCACTTGTGGACATAGACATGGGGACACTGGGAGGCATGGGGACACTGAGACATTTTGGGACACTGGGAGACATGGGGACACTAAGGACATAGAGACATGGGGACACAGACACTGGGAGACATGGGACACTGAGACACTAGGGACAATGGCTGGGAAACATAGGGACACTGGCTGGGAGTCATGGGGACACTGGGAGACATGGGAACATTGAGAGACATGGGGACACAGAGACATGGGGACACAGATACTGGGAGACTAGGGGATACTGGGAGCCATGGTGATAGACATTTGGGGAATCTAAGACACTAGGGACACTGAGAGACATAGGGACACAGACACTAGGGACACTGGCTGGGAGGCATGGGAACACAGACACTTGGGGACACTGGGAGACATGGGGCACTTGTGGACATATACATGGGGACACTGCGAGACATGGGGACACTGAGACATGTGGGGACACTGGGAGACATGGAGACACTAAGGACACAGAGACATGGGGACATAGACACTGGGAGACATGGGGACACTGAGACACTAGGGACACTGGCTGGGAGACATAGGGACACTGGAATACATGGGGACACTGAGACACTGGCTGGGAGCCATGGGGACACTGGGAGACATGGGGACACTGAGAGACATGGGGATACAGAGACATGGTGACACAGATACTTGGACACCAGGGGACACCTGGAGTCATGGGGACACTGAGACACTAGGAACACTGGCTGGGAGACATGGGGACACTGTGTCCCTAGTGTCTCCGTGTCCCAATGTGTCTCCCTATGTCTCACAGCGTCACCATGTGTCTGTGTCCCCATGTGTCTCAGTGTCCCCATGTCTCCCAGTGTCCCCACATCTCCCAGTGTCCCCTAGTGTCTCAGTGTCCCCTAGTGTCTCCCTGCTGCCTTTCCCCCCATCCTTCACATACCTGAGCTGTAGTCTGTCTCTGCAGGCTGGATTCTCTGTGTTGTGTAGCTGCTCCCCTGCAGATCAGTGAGTAGAGAGAGGCAGGGAGATGCTGTAACTTCCTATCCCTGCCTCTCTCCTTACACAGTGACCCCTACTGGCTGGTGCTGGTATTGCAGAGTAATCTCCGTTTTTACGGAGAAAAATACACGGCCAGGCAGCCTCCAATACCAGCTGTGCCTTAAAATACCAGTCAGGTGGTAAACCTAAGAGTAGTCTGTAAAAAAAAAAAAAGTAAAAAACTATTTTAAATTTTTTTTTTTTTACAATGGGCCTATTCCATGGGCCTGGGCCTGGGCCTGGAGCTGCAGCTCCATCAGCCCCTATGTTAATCCGGCACTGATTGACCTACTAATCAACAGAGGCAGGCTGACTACTCTGTGCCTGCAAAAGGCTTATTTTAAAGAGACGCTAATCATTAAAACAGAAAGTTTGCTTCTTGAGCAGGAGCAAAATCTATATATATATATATTTTTTTTATTAAGAAGCCCTTGGAATTTGAGAGGGAAATTATTATTAAATAAAACCTCCTTTTATAAAAGGTTGAGTTTATTGGTCCATTTTTCAATGCATTTTTTTTAAATTGGTTACTTGACTTTAAGTGTGTGTGTGTGTGTGTGTGTATATATATATAATATATAAACAGCCGTTTCCAGGTTAGACAATGCCATAAAATACGTCCAGCAGGAGCAGACTACGTGTAAAAAAATAAAAATAAAATAAAGTCTTGACATTTTTTTAAACCAGGCCCGTTACTAAACAGAGTTTAGAATTGTTTCTTTTTAAAACCGGGTCAAGTAAAAAATGAACCCTCCTATCTCAAATAAATGTGAATATCTATATAACCTGGACTTGTGTTGAAGTTTTACTCTTTTTTTTTTAGTTTGCCGAATATTTTTATTTCCTGGCTGCTTGATTGACAGCTGTGATGGTACAAGTTTAGAGTTGGGTGCTTTTAATTTACAAATTGCTGCAGATTTGCAATGGATCACTGCAGATATATTGCCTCTCCTCGTGTGAGGCCAATGAAGTATTGATTGTTACTGGTCTGTTTTGGAAATTTAAAAAAATATATATTTTTTGGACATACAACTATTAAGTGATTTGTACTAGGTGGAGGATTTGTATGCATTTCCTCAATAATGCATTACCATATGGTGGTTCGGGGGAGCAGGCGCTACTCCAAGTAGTATAATTCCTTTTAAAGTACAAGTTGATTTCTTATTATTCCAAGGGCATCTTATCTGCTTTGAACAATATTAAGTTTTTTTTAAAGTTTAGTGGCTCTTTATTATTTATTAATTTCAGACTAGAACTACACATATTTCTCCTTTTTAGAAATATGCGATAATCCCTCATTTACAAATGTCCAGAAAGGTTGTGTGATTTTAATATTTTTCTGACTTTTCTCAAGAAAATACTAAAATTACATGGCCTCCCGGGGCTTTCACACAATTTTTTCCCCTTTGTTTTAGCATTTTTACTTTGGAAGCTGTTTGGTTGTTTTTACCCTATTTTGTTTACTAATACTTTCCTTAAATTTGTGTATTGCACTTTACATTGTGTAGAATTCCTTTCAGAAAATGCTTGTGCAAATAGCCAAACTGTGTATGCACTGTTGGCGAACAGTGTAAAGCTGTAACAAGGGACACTCCAATGCCCAAATATTTTTTTTTAAATCACTGTTTAGTAGTTATTCCACCAATGAAAGCATGTATGCATTTAATTATGATTTTTTTTTTCATTGGGGTATACATAATAACAGCTTGCAAAAATTTATTGCCTGCAGCCTTTCCAATCCCTCCCCTTCTAGATACGCCCAGAATTTCTGTGGCTGTCCAATCAGAGTTCCCAGTTCAGCTCAATGAGGGATCTTTGCAAGGCAGATGCAGGGCGGGTGTAACAAGATTCACTTATAAAAGTGCCAATTTCTGTTGAAATCTTTACGTTTTGTAAAAGAACAAAAAAAGGCAGACTTCGTGTTTTAGTGACTGGAGTGTCTCTTTAAAGTATGCATGCAGCATCCACATGATTACATTGTAAGTTCTCTAGCCAGATAATACACATATGCAGGGTATATACACTATACCTGGCGTGACAAAAATTAACTCTTCCCCCCCCCGTTGTAGAATTACAACCCCAGTGCTGCTTTGCAAGTCTGGCCATCCCTGTGTTTTACCAAACTACAGCTGCCTGATGGTCTTGGTACCATTCATCTCTGGATGCTACAGACATCTCTGAAGAAGCTCTACTTTCCTGGATTTTGAATGTAAAATAATGGACATTATCTCGGATTTTACTCAGGATATGAATATATATCTGTGAATATATTTAGCCCTCTTATTGCCGTAGGGTTTTGGCTGCATTGATTACTATACATCTAATCCTTTGAGATTTTACTAGGATGCTTTCAATGATCCAGCTTATTTTTTGTAATTGTTTTTTTTTTCTTCTAATTGAAGATGTCACATTTCATAGGGCATGCTTGGCGACAACATATTTTATTAAATTCACAATTAAATTCTAGGTCTCAAAGCTCTGTAACTAAAGTGCAACTTACTTTCAGTTATGCTTCTCAGTTGTACATTTCTCAAATAAAAAATGTTTCTATTAAAAAGTGTGCCAATCTATATGGGGGGAATGGTAAAAGGAGATAATCATGAAAAGGGTGTTGCATACTCCATTTTGAAATCTAGAAAAGGGGCATTGGCAGAATACCTTTAGGAGAGGATATCTTCTGCAGAGGTAGAAATAAAATAGTATGTGTTCTCTCTATCAGGGTGCATTGGTGCTTTTTGAAGGGCTCTGCCCAGTGTATCACTTACTTTGGAAAAGACAACAACCAGAACACATAGCAATTCCACAGAGTTTCAAATTAGCAAGCTATCTACTAAACTGCTCCCTAATCACATACCATGCAATATGGCAGTCCCACATAAGGATAACAAATTAGGGAATTGTCTACTAAATAGGAGAATGATCAGATTTAAGAAAAGTCAATTTATGAATTTTGATCTTTCAGCTGTGTTTAGTAGATACCAAGTGCTTTGTGCAAATCAAGGAGCTTAATGTAACCAGTAAAGAAATCTAATATATGGCAGCTACAACACATGTGCTAGTATCCTCACTCTTCAAACACTTACATGCAGAAAAAATGGGGTGAACCGAGTGATCCAAACCCACTCACGTAAACCTAGTGGAGCGCTAAATATAATTGAATTACCCTTAAACATTAGGGGAATACAGAGGAGGCTGTGGTATAGCCATACTTTACCAACACTGGTGTGGTTTGAGCCTGTCCTTGTCAGGCTCTGCTCCATGTGAGTGTATCCATTACCTATCACAATTCAGCCTGTTCTTGGACTTTACGCTATTGTACATATCTTTCTTTCCTTTAGTATACTCTGTTAAGATCTGTATTGTTCCCCCAATTATTTAAGGGCAAGTCAATTATATTAAACTCCCCACTAGGTTTACATGTGTGGGTTTGTATCACTCAGTTCAGCCCCTTTTTTCTGTGTTTAGTAGATAGCTCCCTAGTTTGTCACCCTTTTGTGGGAATACCAATTTTAAGGGTTCCAAATTATGAAGCTTATCTGTTCAAAAGCGCCCTGATTTGATATCCATTCAAAAGCATTTTTTCAGAATTTCAGATGAACCGAAACTTCAAAATTAATTGGCGACATTTTTCACTCCAGCATATCTCTATATAATAGAGAAATATCGAAAGATTTGCTGAGCACTTCCACTGCACTATGAAGGCTTGTCAGAAGTGGAGGGAACCTCAAGAACAAGCAGTGTTGTGACACAGTAGAGCATTTTGTAGACAGAATGTATCCTCGAGCAGCAGAGCGTGAGTGATGCATTCCTTATCTTCAGAGATGTACATTGGAGTGATGTCCTACGTGTTAAATGGAGAAAAAAGGAACCTCGTGTCTACCTTTTATAGAAACAATAATCAAATGAAAAACTATGATAATTCAACTACACACTTCGATGGACACCATTCACCACATGTCAAAACATATTAACAATTTTCAAGAAGTGGAGTGATGTTTAAGTGGAAAACTCCATACTTCATGCACAGATCAAATAACAATAAATATAATACTTATACTCCCAATAGATGGCAATCACAAAATCAGTGTCGTATAGTACATGTAAGAGAAAATTGAGAAATAGCAATAATAGTGCCGATCTGTATGGAATATTTACTGCACTTACAATAATTAAAATGTAGTCAAATCCAATAGAATGGCTAATAAGCTAGTGATAAAGTAACAATTTATTCAAACCCAAAGGTTAAAAGCAATACAGTTGAAATATAGTTAAAATATTGTAAAGCAAAATGCAAACAGGTTGCCACTTAGAAGATTAAATGGTTAGTATGCCAGTACATGTACCCGTTACTCACAACCACGCTCAATACAATGGGGGATACCCATGTGGATCTGGACTCTCGGCATCTTCCATCTGGTGGAGTTGTAATAATACCTGTGTGGATGCCGTTCGTCTTTCCCGGTGAAGCTCAGCTCCGCTCACCTGGATGCGTAATTGTCACGTCTATGCGTTTCGCCGTGCACAGACAGCTTCGTCAATACGTTTGAAGCTATTTCAGTCCTTACCCATAAGGGCTAATAAATGGGCAGATGTCCAATCTCTTATTGGTGAGATCTTAAAGCTTGGGTTTGCATAATGCAATCTCTCCCAAGCTTTTAAAAGTCCCATGATTTAAAGTGACACTGCTTGCATAATGTTATCATATATTTACTAAACACAGGGAAATCTATATTTTAGTAGAACAAATTATCTATTAAGAACAAGTATCTGAAATTGAATAACAGATGTTCATACAGATGACAACTTTAGTCCGATTCAGACACCACATTTCATAAATAATAATCATACAGTAAATTAAGACCTATTCATTTGATAAGGAAGAAAACAATAAAACATGAGTTTTTAGAATGTTCATAGTATTGATCTTATTATACATTCTATACATTGCAGAAAGAAAAAGTGATATTAAACATATTAAACAATAAACATTTATCACCCCATTAAACCAAATGGGTGTCATAAAAAAATGTGTATATAGTGAGTTTAACACACCAAGGGGCATAACATATAGCAGGGTGCCACAGTAGCCAATATTCATAGAACAGTGAAAATAAAAATGATAATAAAAATAGGAATAAGATGATGAGGTGGATATTATAAATTTAAAATTAAGATTTTTAAATCTAAAAAAAGGGGGTCGATCTAATTTTCAAAATGACAAATTTCAAAATCATTATTTAATCCTTTGGGAATGTGTGTATTCAATTCAAACATCCACCTCATCTCTGTACAGCCCAAATGTTGCATAAAATTGCCTCCTCTTCAGTTCTTATTAACCTGTTGAATACTACATTATGATTTGTACTCTGCTGGTAACAGTGCTGGGTAAATAATAGATATTTGGCCTTCGTATCGTAGACCTGTGGCACACATATGTTCAATAATGAAAAAAAATCTGAATATGGGATATTCTCAGCTTCTTGAAGTGAGGCAAAAGTAAGAGCATTGTTATCGTTAGATTACCAACAGTCTCTTTATTGTGAGCTGCCCACCAAGAGAATGTTTCTCTCCCCGATGGAAACCGAGGATTTATATAGGAGTATGTGGAGAGTTATGGGCCTTATAGACTGTAAGTTATAGACTGTAAGCTCCTTTGAGCAGGGTCCTCTTCAACCTATCGTTTCAGTAAGTTTTCTTGTAATTGTCCTATTTATAGTTAAATCCCCCCTTTTATAATATTGCAAAGTGCTATGGAATCTGTTGGCGCTATATAAATGGCAATAACAATAATTGAATACCATCTTGTGAGTGTTCTTCCTTCCCCTGCCCCCTTTCTTGATTATTTGTAGCTGTATTACACTATTTTGTGAATATTTTTATTTTTCAAGTTTTATTATTTATTACCAGCTTGTATTCCACACATATTGTGATATATAATTTAATATGTTATTATTTTCTTTTTTATATACATTTGGGTGTGTGTGTTTTAATTTATAGAGTTTCTCCTTTTTGTTATACATTTTTGTATACTTTTGGGTATTTATATGTGTATTATATTTGTTTGTGTGTCAAGCTGGTGGGGACATGTGACCCATTGTGACTGCTCACTGTGACATCATTGTGACATCATGTAACATCACCCTTGATGCTCACAGTTTGCAGCAGTCACTAGACACGGCTTGGACAGTAGACACTGCTTAGCTGTTGTGGTGAGCAAATTGCTAGAGATGGCAAATAGAAATGTTTTCTCGTGGATTCGGCGTTTGCCCTTTCGAAAGGTAAGTAAATGACTTGTTTTCTTTAAGGTTCCGATTAACCAAACCATTAACTGTGGTTTGTAACATGTTAACTCCAAGTTTGTGGGTGGGTCCATATTTAAATTAATAACATGTATCACTAGAGGGGTAGAAGCAAATCATTATGTATTCTTATCTAAATGGAGTTAAATGCTTAACTAATTTTTCTATATTAAAATCCCCATGTTACAGAAATTTGCAATAATGTTGCAGCTACAAGCCAATTATTTCACTCACATCCAATTCTGGGAGTTGTTTGTCCTTGTTCATACAACTAGTTGTATATGTATCAGAATTAGAACAAACTCAATAAGTGGTTTACATACACTAAGGTTTAGACATATATTAATTATCGAGGAAATTCAATACATTAAAATACACAAGACAGTGGCAGCCCAAGATACTAAACAGGAAATGGTAAATGGAAAACTAAACCCGAAAGTCAATTAAAATTGATGATTTCAAAATTCTCCAACTGGATTGTAACGACAGCTTAACTATTTTACCTTCAATTTTGCCATTTGGGTTTCAATGTACTAGAATTCAGTGTTCAGTGGATGAAGCCAAGTTACTCAATAGATTGGAAATCTATATAAAACATTTCCCATACTAGTTACATACAAGGTCAATGCAAGTTTTTTTACTACTTTAGGCAAAACAACATTTTGCTGACCCCCGCCCCCCACCACGCCAATATGCTCCGTCCATGGTATGACATCATACTGACCATAGCGCAATATGCTCCGTCTGTGGTGTATTTAAAAGAAACACTTTTATAAACGATCACAAATGTAACAGGCTTCATACAGCAAGCAGAGGTGCTTTAAGTTTTCAGGAGTTTTCCTTTAAAGGGCCACTCCAAACACCATAACCACTACTGCTAACTATGATTAATGAATTGTCAGCTGCTACTCTCAGCCAATCTCTGCCGTCTCCTTACTGGCTGTACCAATACTACTGCATTAGCCGAAGAGAAGAGGGAGAGAACGGTTACTGATGGCACATATTTAGTGTTAAATTATTTACAAACAATTTAACACTTAAATATAAGGCTGTTCCAGGGACTC